CAGGAGCAGCATGACCTCCATCACGAACTCCATCGTGAACAGGTGGCTGGAAAGGCCGCCCAGCTGGCCCAGCACCACACCCCGTCTTCCTGTGTGTCCGCTGCTCTCTGGGGAGCTGGCCAAGCACATCGTGTCTGGGGGCCCCGCTGCGGTCACCAGGTGCACCAGCTCCGTGACCCTGGCCTTGACAGAAGTAAAGAGTGAACGGCCAGGGCTCTGAGCTGGCCTTCCTACCGTTCTCCTCCCAAATGTTCTGGTGAACTCCTGCTACCGTGCAAGACTTGCATCAGCCATTTCCTTCTCCATGAAGCCCTCCTCAGCTTCCCCCTTACCCTCTGCCCCCCAGCCTGGCCCCGTTCCCCACTCCTTCCTCCCTGCCCCCGGCGTCCATGTGCACGCACAGCAGACCACTGCCTGCTCCTGGCCAACCGAGGGCTCTGGGAAGGGAGGCCCAGGGCTGCTTCGCTCCTTGGTGTGGAGTGTGGCTCAGAGAGGTCGGTCCCCCAAAGATTGCAGGGAACCCAGCTTCCCGGGTTGTCTGATTTGCTCCTAGCCTGTATTTAGGGCATTAGGGCAATCAGATTTTATTGGAAATTCTTTAGGTAAATGTTTTTTAAATTGAGGGGTAACTTAAAGTGCAGTAATCTTAGGTGTATCAATGGCTTTGTACTTATGATTACGTTGTAACTTAGGTCAAGACAGAAGACCTTTCAGAGGGGCGCCTGGGGGGCTTAGTCAGTTAAGCGTCTAACTCTAGGTGTCAGGCATGATTTCATGGTTTGTGGGTTCAAGCCCCGAGTTGGGCTCTGCACTGACAGTATGGAGCCTGCTTGGGATTCTCTCTCTCCTTCTCTCTGCCTCTCCCAGCCCTCTCTCTCTCTCTCTCTCTCTCTCTCAAAGCAAATAAACTTAAAAAAATAAAAGAAGACTTTCCTTCTTTTAAATAAAAGTTCTTTCTCAGTCTATAACCTCCTCTCCCACCTTTCCCTCGGCAGCTGACTTCTAAAAGTGCCTTTTTAAACCATGTGTGTATGTGTGTGTGTGAGTGAGAGTGAGTGAGAGAGAGAGAGTGAGTGAGAGTGTGTGTGGTAAAACACATAAAAATAGTGGGTTAACTGTTTTGAAGCATATAGTTCAGGGGCATTAAGTACATGAAGGTATTCTTTACATTTAAATGGCATCGGTCATGCTCTCTCGGGGGACAATGAGTGGATGAGGCAGACACAACTAGAAAAGAAGGTCAAAGTGCCCCCGGCCTCACCGTCCTCTTCAGAAGGAACAGCTGTTTGCAGGGCGTGTAGCCTCGCCGTGTGGACCGTCACGCCCACAGCTGTCCACGCGCCACAGATGTGCGTGCCCTCACGGGCGGTTTTGTTCTTGAATTGTAAGCAGGCTCCTTGATGGGCGGCTCGACGGCAACTTGCGTTTTCGTGTGCAGCCTGCGCCCCGTCTCTCTCAGGGTCGCCCAGGCGTCGCGGAGGATGCTGTTTGACGTCTGGGCCACTGGCGGTGCCGCTGCTCCTTCGTCAGCCGCCTGGGCCTCGGGGGCGTGTGCCCACCTTCCTGCCCCCTTGCTCCACATCCCTGCCACCGGCCACGTCCCGCAGCGCGAGAGGCCTGAGTTGCCGCTGACCCCTGGGGAGTCCCCTTCTCTAGTAATTACCTTTTATTTTTGTTCTTTCTAAGTTTATTTATTTTTGAGAGAGAAAGTGCAAGAGGAGGGGTCAGAGAGAGAGACAAAGGATCCCAAGCAGTGGGATCCCCAGTGCAAGGCTCAAACTCAGGAAACAGGAGATCATAACGTGAGCTGAAATCAAGAGTCAGATGCTTAACTGACTGGGCTACCCAGGCGCCCCTCCACTATTTACCTTTTTTTTTTTTTTTTAAAGTTTATCCATTTTTGAGACAGAGCGTGAGCAAGGGAGAGGCAGAAAGAGAGGGAGATGCAAATCCAAAGCAGGCTCCAGGCTGCGAGCTGTCAGCACAGAGCCCAGTGTGGGGCTCGAATTCACTAACTGTGAGATCATGACCTGAGCCGAGGTCGGATGCTCAACCAACTGAGCCACCCAGGCGCCCCAGTATTTACCTTTTAAGCAAGGACAGCAGCCTGAGGTTGGAGGGGGTGAAGGCCAGAGGAAGGCGGTGTTGACCTGCAGACAGAAGCAGACACTAGGCAGCAGTTAGATCCTTGGGCCGCCTCTGAGGTCATGTTGCCGGCCTTGAGCTGACCCTGACCCCAGAAGCCGGCCTCCATGGCTGGCAACAGAGCCCAGCGCTATCCCTCTGCACCCCCCGGGTTGGGTAACTGGCTCTGCTGTCAGCAAGGAGGGCCCCAAATCTGCACGTTCCTCTCGCGGCTCAGGCTCTGGTCCCTGGGAGACGAGCCCTTGGCAGAACCCGGGCTTGCAGCATTCGGGAGACAGACGTGAGGTGCAGAGTGCTTTTGTCTGGGGCCCTGCGGGGCGTGCTGGCTTTACGAGAAGGTAAACCCCAGAGCCTGCTGGTTTTTCTGCTCCTGCACTGTGCCAGCCTCCTGAGGCTGTGAGGCTTCTGTGTTCCTCTGCCTCTCCCTCTTCTTCTCTGTTGTTCTTTCCGGCACCCGCAGCCCAATGAGGCCCTGCCCTGCTGGAGGCATCTGGTGTGGTGTTGGGAGCACAGCGGGGGAGGGGTGAGGTGGGCGGGGCTTCTCCCCGGGGTTTTCCATCTGGAACACCTGGGGAGATGGAACACCTGGGGTGGTCCGCTGTCACGCCTAGATCCCTGGCAGCCAGGAGGCCCTTGACGGGGCAGCAGGGTCGATCGTGAGTCTCTGTCCACATTTCCCAGCCAAGCCTCGTCAGCTTCTCCCCGTTAACTAGGGGGGTTTCGATGCTGTTAGCATTGAGAAAAACAGGTTTTAAGTATGAAAGAAAATAAAAAAGGGAAAATAAAGTCCGTAATTCTAAGTCTAAATGGTCCTTGATGAATTTTTTTAAAGTTAATATGAGCACAGGATTAGACATTTCAAACCAAAATGGAAAGGTAGAGAAATGAAAAAAATTGTACGTGAACCCCCTGCCTTCTTTTCCCTCGAAGATGAACTCCTCAGATATTCTGAGGCAACAGCAACTTTCTAGGGAAAGCTGTTGACAGCATCACGCGTAGCCTTTGAAAACCTTTACCCACAGGGACCCCTACTGAGTTCGCTGCTCTTGCTGTTCACCCTGAAGCCGGTTCTGCGTGAGTGTACGTCGGTCTTTTTTATCATTCACGTGGATTCCCATTCTACGGACACACCATAATAACCTAACCGCTCCCCTCTTGATGGACATTTAGGTTATTTCCAACTGTTGACTGGGTAGGCTGCATTTTAAAAGTTTGAAATTTCCCCAGTAGGCATGTCTTCCCAACACCTGATGGTCGAGAAAAGCAGATCCCTTTGGAAAGTTTTAAAATTTATTTTCACAGTTGACTTTTTCTTATCTTCTCTTTTCTTTCTGGTTTTCTTTTCTTTTTTTTAAGGCAGCAGGGAAGGGAAGGGGACTCTCATATGTTGGATGCATACTGAAGGAACTTTACGGCTGTGATTATGTTTAGTTCCAGAAGGCCACAATTAACTTGCGCTGTGTTTTAGACAAGGACTCTGATGCTCAGAGAGGGCCCACAGCTCATGGTAGGCTTCAGCTGGGGATCGCACAGCTCTGACCAGCCCCGGGCCTTGCACACCGTCTCACTTGACTCATTCTGCCAGTTCTGTGCATCTGGGAGAGCTCAGGGAGAGGTTTCTACACCCATCCATGTGAATTTTTGCTTGGACCTTCTGACTGGGTGGTGTTTTGCTCTGCATTTAGTCTTGGGTTTCTGTTTCAGAAGCTTTGATTGCGTATGGCGTGCTCTAAAATTCCCTGGGAGTAAGTGGTGATCAGGGGAAGCAGGCGCTTTATCTCGGGACCCTGTTTCTCGGTTCGAGTCCTTGGGCAGAAGATGAGGGCTCTGTCCAGAGCTGCATTCAGTCGTACGACATCCTCAGTGGGCTCTGATGGGTGCCGTCTGTTAAGTTGGGGGTGCTCAGAGGGCTCCCATCTCTGGGCTCTTGGCTGTAATGTGCTCTCTGGGTTTCATGGACAGGAGAATCGTGTCTCAATTTATCTGTCATTTTTGTGGATAAATAATCCAAAGTGAGTAAATAAAAATTAATGTTTGGATTTAGATGCTAATTCAGCTTTCAATTGGGTTTTCTTTTGAGTGTTATTGAAATTAATCGGTGTTCCTTGAGCACATTCCACTTATTATTGGCGCGGTACGGTGGGCCCTCAGAACACAGCTGATGGTTGTTTGGGGTAAATTCAGAAGATGGATAAACCATATCAAGATAATGGAAAAGTTTTCCTTAAAACTTTTTCCTTTTTTAAACACAGAATGCTGTCTGGACATTGTCCAGACCCTGAAAAGAGAAGAGCACTTTGTTCAGAATCTTGCCCTGAGCCAATCCGTTTTCTTTTGTCTTGGTTCCTTTCTAGACCATTTGCATGTAACTGCTTTCTAAGGGGCACTGAGCATGGAACGGAGTTTGAGCTCCTGGTGAGGCACCGTTATTTCAGGAGGAGCTTGGGCTTTGGGGATTGGGCAAGCTTCACTTCAAAATCTGACTCTTGTGTGACATTGGGCAAGTCACTTAGCTCTTCAGGGCCTCAATGTTTCTCCTCTGTAAAACGGGAGGGGCATCCCTGTATCTCATGTGTGTTTCTTAGACAAATGAGTGACCTTTGAGAAGGACACAGCCAGTGCTGGTAAAGTACGGAGTTTCTGACTTAGGTCGGTGGGTAGTAAATGGTTAGTTAGCTGGGGCTGTTGTGTTGATTATCTAACAACGATGGCGTTAATTATAGTCACAGTGACAGAGCTGGAGGTAGCATTATTTGTCCTGGGACTGAATTTCTTGGGGCAGCAGCTCTTGGCAGCTGGCCGATAGCACGCCCGGCCAGGTTCCGAGGCTCACACACGTCTGTTGACTTCCCTAGGCCAAGCCCAGCATCCGGTGCTTCATTAAACCCACCGAGACGCTGGAGCGGTCCCTTGAGATGAACAAGCACAAGGGCAAGAGGCGGGTGCAAAAGCGACCCAACTACAAAAACGTTGGGGAGGAAGACGACGAGGAGAAGGGGCCCGCCGAGGACGCCCAGGAAGACGCCGAGAAGGCTAAAGGTACTGAGGGTGGTTCAAAAGGCACCAAGACGAGTGGGGACAGTGAAGGTGAGTGCCCCCGTGAACACCACCCTGCTGCCCTCTGTGTCTGGTCCCCGTTATGTGTCCGCTCCCCACGCCCGTGTACCTCATTCTACGGGCGCGGCCTCTCGCAGGCAGCTGCGGGCACGTCCGCTGCGGGTCCTGCCCTCTTCGGACAGGTGACCTGGGGTGAGGCTCCTACGCGTGCCCGCCTGCCTCCCCCGTGGGCACACAGAGGGGCACAGGCTGCCTTTACTCAGCTGAGCACGCGTGCGGCGCCCAGAGGAGCGCCTGGCCCCAGGCCTTGCTGCCGTCAGAGGGTCAGCCTGTTTATCGCGGCTCTTCCTGTTCCCCGTGACCTCCGATTAGGGCTTTTGACTCGAGTCGTTATTTCCAGCGTACTGCAGGAGGAAAGCCATGTTGAATGAAGTCATATGTGTTCAATAAGACGACATTGTTTTGGAATCGAATAATCCAACACAGCGCCCGAGATGCTGCCATTAAGAGCTGTTCAGAGCCCTGGTTAGAGTGAGGTACACCTGTGCTGGGTGCATATGTGTTCCATAAGCAGAGTCATTCCTTCCTCTTTTGGCCCGTGCCAGGGATGATTCTGGTTTCATTTCCACCTTGCTCTCGTTCAGATGCTAATACCTTCTCACTCTGGGGAGCGCCGTCCGCTCTGGAACTGAGTAGGCTTCAGCAGTGGAGTCTCTCGCGTCTCAGGCGGGGCGCACAGCCATGCCTGTGGGGTCTCTGGCCACGGCCCTGGGCCCTAGGGGTAGAGGCAGGGGTGGGGGCTCCGCTTGCTGGACGCGAGCTCCCACCACCCTCCTGGGACAGACACGGGCTGTGCCCCATGCCTGCCGTGGGCCGTCCCGCTGGCCCCTGGGCTGGTCGTGGCTGCTGCAAAGCCAGCTGCCCTTGGCCTGTCGGCCTGGACCGTGTGAGTCCCTAGTCCAGGTCATCTGAAGCTGAAAAACAGAGCAGCTCCGTAAATCAGTGACTGGGAACTCATTTGTCTTGGGGAGTTTGCTGTGTTGATGGAGCCAAAGCCCGCCCCATCCCCCCCTGCTGGCCCCATCTTGATTTTCTTGGCAGTTCTCTGCGAAGGCCATGATCACATTCCGATAAGCATAACCAGAGCACTTCTCTGGTGCCACCCTGCCCTCTCTTTAAGGCTGAGGTCCCAGCATGCTTTCATTTCCGTTTAAAGTATCCAGTAAGCATTGGGCGCAGGAATTCACTTTGGGCTCAGGAACACTATCACTTTGGTGGGGAGGTGAGAGGCAAACGCAAGGAAAGCAAGCCATCCTGGTTTGCTTATTTGGATCTTTTTTTTCCTTTTTTTCTCTCTTTCTTTCCTTTTCTTTTTCTTTTCTTTTTTTTTTTTTTAACCTCAGGAGAAAGCAGTCTGCTTACACCCTGGGGTTTAGCTGTCCTGTGGCCACGCTGGGGAAAAGGAAGAGGATTTAACCCCATTTTGCACTCTGTGTTCTTGTCGATTTTGTTTTGGAAAGATGCTACCTCTTTCATTCCAGTCCTTTTAAGGGCTGGCCGCTCTCTAACCAGGCCTGGCCGTGACTAACCCTGGGTGGACAGGGCAGGCTTGGCGGCCGGCGCACAGTCAAAGTGAGTCACCGAGCGGCCTGGTCCCAGTGCGTGGAGCTTGCGTGGCTCGCCGAGGCTGCCGATCGGCATGCTGCTGGGACTGGAGTAGTGACTCCCCAGATGCCGAGCCTGCCCGCCCTGCGCAGGGGGCAAGGGCAGAAAAGCTCCCAGGTCTCCAGAAACCGGATTTCCGAGGGGCCCCTTGGCCAGGTCATACCAGACGGGCCCCAAGAATTTTCCCAGAGGCTCTGCTTGGACGCTCGATGCTGACGTTAGAGCTCGGTTGACCACGGCTCCCAGCAGCCCTCTTGGCATTTTTGGGGCCCTCCTCTATTTTCTCGGACACATGTTAGCCACTCCAAAATATTATGGACCTGTCATCTTGCCACACAGCTCACTGTAAATAAATACGGGTTTCTCAGGCCCGCCCAGCGGATGCCTTGCGGGGCCGCGGCAGCTTTCGCGCAAATGGGGCTTTGTGAATGCATGTCTGATCTCTTAGTCACTCTCGGACTTGAGGCGCAGCTGGGGGTGAGCTCTCCTTAGACCGCATTTGGGTGCAACCGTATGCGACCTGTAGGGTGTGAGGCACAGTGCTGATGCGGGTGGTGCTAGGAGATGGGATCCTGCTTTGCTGCCGTGTGTAGGTTTACTGTGAGCCTTGAGGGTCTCCCCAGGCTCTGTACCTCAGTTTCCCCATCTGGAAATTGAGTATAAAAAATGTAATTCGTGTGGTGCTTTTTTTTTTTTTTTTTTTAATGAGTACATGTTAGGATTCTTACGGCTATAAGAGTTAGAAGAAATCAGCTTGGACTGGCTTCAGCACAAGGGTGACTCTTGTTCCCGTAACAGGAAGGCATGGGCGGGGCTGGCCTCAGGTGCAGGGGTGACCATGGGCAGCGTCAGGCTCGCGTGCCTCCAGGTTACCCCAGGCGGAGGAGGAGGGGCTGAGGGCTGGGGGCCGATGCTCGGTGACACCGCGGAGCTGCCTCACCCGCTGCTGTACGGGGCCGTCTGTGCCCACTGGCCAGGCCTGGGTCATGTGTTGAGCCTGCAGTGACTCCCTCGGGAAGGAGGAGGGTGGTCCCTCGGAAGCAGGGGGCACGTCTCCGGGCCAGCAGAAGCAGTGGACGCTCCCCTCGACAGCCACACTGTTTCTGTGAGCCCCTCGCCCCCTCCTGGCTGTCTTCTCCCTTGGCGTTTGGAGGTGGATGTGTGGCTCTTTTCTCGTCCGAGTCCTTGTTTCTCAAGCAAGTCTCCTGCCTCATCCCCGGGTCTGGGGTTTGTTGGTCTCCCGGGTGTCACAAGCAGGCAGGTATGACTTTGAACAAATAGATGCTGGCACCGGCTCTCCCTGCCCCGCCGGCCGGCCCCACGTTAGTGGGGAGATCCTAGACAGGCGGCATCAAGTGCAGGCCCGCAAAGGCACGTGGTCATGAGTCGCAGTTTTGCCATGACCTGATTTAGACGTGGCCCTGGCATGTTCTGTTTCTACAAGCGCAACCAGAGTTCACACCGCCTCCACCTCTAAGCCCAGACAAGGCAGTAGCGTAGAATGAATGTGTACCTCTGGACCCTCCACTCTGCTTCGGGTCCCAACGATGTGTGACTCATTCTGAAACAGGCAAGTCACAAGGGCCCCGGATTTGCAGAAATTGCACACGGAAAGGAAAAAGAGGGGCGCCCCGGTCCTGGTAGGCAGAGGGGTGCTCACGTGCTCCATGCTCTGTCCCAGCTCTCTCCTCGGTCTGAAAGGATGGTCTTCCCTTTTCAGAGTCACTTGGAAGAGCAGCTCAGCAAACAGACCTAAGGCCAGAAAATGAATTGTTTGAACTTCTCATTTGAAAAATAGTGTTTAGCTTTTGTTTTTCTGCCTATTGAAAAAGTAGTCACCAGTTTCATGGCCTGACCTTCAAACCCTGCTCTTTCCTCAAATCCCACCAAGGGTATGGAATGAATGGCACACACTGACTTTGAACCTGCTGGGCAGCTGGGAGTTGAGGGGTGCCTGGAAGTTTGGAACCCCAGCTTTGCTTTTTTTTTTTTTAATTAAAAAAATTTTTTTAAATGCTTGTTTGTTTTTGGGAGAGACCTAGAATGAGAGTGGGGGAGAGGCAGAGAGAGAGAGAGAGAGACAGAGAATCTGAAGCAGGCTCTGCCCTGTCAGCACAGAGCCTCATGTGGGGCTCGAACCCATGAACTGAGATGATGACCTGAGCTGAAGTCAAAATGCTGAACTAACTGAGTTGCCCAGGAGCTCCCCACTCTCAGCTTTGCTTTTTTTTTGTTTTTTGTTTTTTTTTTTTTGAAGTGTCTGTTGAAATGGAACCCTGGCCTCAGTTCTGGCCCCTCTTGGAAAGGCGGAGCCAACCCCAGGGCCGGCTGAGTTTCCCGACTGGGACAAGCCATGGATTAGCCACTGGGAGGTCGGGGCCTGAATCCTCGACCCTTGAGGGGCGGCTCCCGCACAACCCTGTGACCCTGGGCAGGTCATTGCTTCCCCACCAGTGGAGCCCAGCTCTAGGGGTGTCGGAAGGCGAGCGTCGGTGTCTGAGCACTTGAGCGTTTGACACACGAGCACTGAAAAGGAAGCCTGGCCGGGGTGGGGAGCAGACTGAGGACCCTGGCTGGGGGCCCCTGGTGCTTGGGTACCCAGCTCCCAGCTGCGGGTCTCTGTGGATTTGTAGGAGTCAGTGGGGTGGGTGAGCGTGTGTGCGCGGCGGGGGGACAGTGGGAAGGGAGGGAGGAGGAGAATTAGGAGGCCAGCCCCGCGGTTGAAGGGGTGTGGCCGTGCCACGTTTTCAAACAGCTTCACTAGTATAAGGAACTTCCCGGAAAAGAAACCTTCTAAATTCAACCCCGTGCTGTTCAGTAACGTAAAGGGAGAGGGACCCCAAATACTCAGCTCGTGCACACCCTGTTATTGCCAGGTGCTGTCCGCCTCTTGAAATTCTGCCCCAAATCCAGCCCATAGCACACACTCCTCCCCTATTTCCTAGGTAACCGGCAAGGGCATCTTTCTCCTCCTTCCCTGAAAGGTCTTGTTGAGGCCTTCCTGCTCTCCCCTTCCCCCTTTTGATGGTCTGTCCTCGTTTTGATTCCTGGAATGTAGAATGCAGAGGGCAACTTAGAGAATCCTTGAATTTGTGAAGTCAAAGACTGTTGGGGGGTCACGCCTGCCATTTCCCTGAAAAGCACTTCATTTACCAAATATTAATCAGATTAGAGTGTACATCATCCCGGGCAAGTTGATGGATTATTGCTGCGATTTAAGAAAATCAGAGTGTCAGAGCTTTGGGGAAGCTCAGGGACCTGGCCAGGGTTGTCATCTGGAGGGGGACAGGTTGACGTCCTTGGCTGTGGAGGGTCCTGCGGCCTCTCCTCTGCACGCACTCTGTGGCACAACAAAACCGCCATCC